GCTCGGCCGCGTATTTGTCTCGGATTCGGTATTTCGCAAATACCGTATTTCATAAATACGAGGTCTCGTGTGAACGAGGCTTGAGACTGAGGCTGCCGAGGCGGAGGGTGAGGAGGAGGCTGCAAGCACTGGCGGTGGCGCTGTCCCCAAGAGAGCGAAGAAGGCTGTGGGCGGCAAGGCAAAGGCGAAGAGCAAGAGCAAGACCCCCGACGACTACGGCGGCACTGTCATCAACATCGCCCGCCCAGACGATATCTCCGAGGAGCAGGAGTTGAAGATCGTAGCCTGGGTGGAAGATCCAAGAGACTCCATCCGCATGAACCCCACGAAGTCACCGGCAGATTCCCGCTCCAACTCTTGCATCAGAGTACTATACTGCCCAAACATCAGGCGCCGCTCGATCCACGGCCGAACCCACCAACGTCGGGGGTTTCGCCGGTTCCTGCGCTGCTCCCGGGCCCGGATCAACGCCAACATCACTATATTATGCTTGTGCTGGAGTTCCGCCAGACGCCCCCTCAGCAGGGTCACGCGTAGTCGCTCAGGTGGAATAGCCATCCTCTTTCAGCGCCGACAGACAGTTTTTATTTCCAAGCGTTCATTCGCCCGAGCTATATACCCCTCAAAAAACGCAAATATGTTGCAAGACTAACGCAAGACTAACGCACGACAGACTTGCAATGTTGTGCGAGCCTCTTACGAAATATAATATTCGTGAGACAATCTTGCAACTGTCTCACGACTGTCCTGCGACAGCCGTGAGACAGTTGTATGACAGTCGTGCGACAGTCGTAAGATTGTTTGACTAAAAAATTTTCTTCTGGTACCCACGACAAGATATTTATCGCACGACAGTCGCAAGACTGTCGTAGGACAGACACACGACAACCAGAAGACATAGATACCACAAAAAATCGTGGAACAAAAAAGGTGCATGTTCAATTTTGCCTCACGACAGCAAGTCGATGCCACGATACTCAAAATTTCGTAGGACTGTCTTGCGACGACCCCGATGACCCACGATTTGCCAAAATTTTCTGTCGTGTCGTGGCACAAATGCGTCGTGGGCTCGTTGTGACCGGGGCTTAAAGCGCAACAACAATAACGCATGTGCGTATTTGAAGATTCATGCGATGCACGTCTGCCAAATTTTCTTTGGACATTTGCTGAAAAAAATACGGTAATTCCGTGAGGCCGTGCTCTGGAACGAACTTGTTAGTATAGCAGAATTTTCAGGGAGTCCCACGGACTCCTGCAGATGTCAAATCAGGGAGTCCGACAGTAAATCAGGGAGTATTTGACTCCGGACTCCCGTGAATTTCGCACCCTGCTGTTATTTTACCACATCACATGAAACCTTCCTCTAACGCTCCTAAATCATTCCTACAGCATGTGTCTAGTCGTTGCATAACAAAACCTGCACAAAATTAAAGCGACTTGCATAAGAGCACAAGAGCAGTTGGAGTCCGAAAATTGGACTCAAACCCCAGACCCGCAGATTGATACAGAATGAATGACAACTACTATGCTGCCCCCTGAGGGAGCATTTCCTTACCATTGGCCTTCTCTCTTGCCATTGTGACGACCCAGGTTGCGAGCCGGCCACATGAGATGCATTTCTGTCCTGCACCCAACTGCTATGGCCACCACCTCGCCCTCTGCCACCGCCTCGACCACCACTGAAATAAGTGCTTGAAATCATAGCAAGACGGCCAGATCGCAGACATGTGGGAATTCTTCCAAAACTAGAAGCTCTGACGAATTAACTCCTCATCAAATAAATTACGACAGTCGCCAATCGCGAAAAGCCATCTACCGTCGCTAGCTGGCAAAAACTGAAACCCACGTGCCGCGGGTCCCCGACCTGTAGCACGCCTATGATGAGAAAACCTACCCGCGTTGATTTAGCTGCCCTGCCTTCTGCGTCCACACTCCTACGGAGTCTCTTACGTCAGCTAGCTCCAGCATGTCAACGCTTTGCGCAAACTTCCACTCGTAGCGCGTCTTCGAGGCGGACGACATGGCCGTGGTCGACATGCCCTCGTAACACTTCTGCGCGGGTGAGAGGAATGAAGCATTTTGCATCACCACGGAGTCTCGTACGTAGGTAGATGGGGACGCGTATGGTTACAGGTAGATGGGGACGCGTACGGTTACAGGTAGATGGGGACGTGTACGGTTACAGGTAGATGGGGACGTGTACGGTTACAGGTAGATGGGGACGTGTACGGTTACAGTCAGATGGGGACGCGTATGGTTACAGGTAGTTGGGGACGTGTATGGTTACAGGTAGTTGGGGACGTGTACGGTTACAGGTAGATGGGGACGCGTATGGTTACAGGTAGTTGGGGACGTGTACGGTTACAGGTAGATGTGGACGCGTATGGTTACAGGTAGATATGGACGCGTACGGTTACAGATAGAGGTGGAAGTTAGTGAGCTCTTTGTGAGCACGGTTTTCAGATTTACAGTGGCTGTAAACTGCCACGACGCGGCCTGCTACCCGAATGGCGCCAACTAGTTGCAGCATCAGGCTTAGTGTATGCAGATGACATACAGATGGCGTTCTGATCGCAGCAAGCACACAAGACAGAGACACTTTCTCCCACCCTCAACTAAATCTTTGTACAGATGGAAAATCATACCAGGAATGCAGTGCTTAAAGTGATTACGTAAATAGTAAAAATATAACAAATATTTCCACTTTTTCACAAAATATAAGTAATTCTGTTCACTTTTTATGGTTAAATTGCTGCATTATACTTCCTGTTGTACTATATTGTTCGATGTGAACATACACTCGTAACTCATACATAGCCCATAGCAAGCAATTAATGTCAGGAACATAATATCAAATCATACAGGTTTTTTGGATTTTTAACTAGTTGAGATACAATCTTATCAAGTAAAAATTTGACGATACGTTTAGTCCAGTTAGTTCTTACTTTTAATTTAAAAAAATGGCAACAAAAATTTTACACATTTTTATACCATGGAAAATTCGTGACGTAGTCAATTTAACATGGAGGACTAACTGCCTAGGCAATATACAGCCAGTGTGCCACCTACTATAGAATTATGACATCTATGTAAGGAATTACGGCTACCTTGTCTAACTTTCCCTTGTTCCACTTCTTGACAAATTTCTTGAAATGCTTTTTGGCATCTGACGTCAACAACTCGTCAAAGTAAAGCCGTTTCTGTAAGTAAATAAACCGCTTTACATATCTGCATATATATGTTCAATAAAGATCACAGCAAATTCATTCCACTGGCCCTTCTCTCACCTACTCCAACTCTTTCCCCTCTCTCTCTCTCTCTCTCTCTCTCTCTCTCTCTCCTCTCTCGTCTCTCTCTCTCTCTCTCTCTCTCGTCTCGTCTCGTCTCGTCTCGTCTCGTCTCGTCTCTCTCTCTCTCTCTCTCTCTCTTCTCTCTCTCTC